ATCCTGTTATTTGCTTTGGAAGAGAGGGAAATATCTTGCTTTTTTGTTGCCATGAATGCTTTCCTACCATGACGATGTTCTGAAAGTCTTTGTAAGTTGAAGAGTTGATTCGGAAAGTCTTTTCCCCATGAGGACAGCCCAGCAGTGGAGCTGGGGCCCAGGGAGGTTGTGCCGCCTCCATCCTTGAGAGGTTTCATGCCCTGACTTTGTAAAGCCCTGAGCAGCCGAGTTTGATCGCACGGCTGAGCCTTCCCTGGGCAGGGGCTGGGACTGGAGACCTCCCCAGGTCCCCACCAGACTGGGGTGTCCTGTGATTTTCAGGGGTACAACTATTTGCCTCGAGTTTGTGATGTCAGGTGGCAATATAATCCTGAAGGATGACAGTCTGAGAGGTAGTTCTGATTCTTGTTCATGGTAGTGACTGTCAGTTGTCAAGTCAGATGCCGTATAGGTGTGTGAAGGCTTGAACAGCATCAAACTGATACTTAGATGGTGCCACATCTCTCTGGTCCTTTATCCTCCCCCATACCCAAATCATGGACTATCAAAGAACAAGGGTGTATTTACATGCTGGTGAATGATTAAGTTACTGTCTGTCAGCTGAGACTAACAGAGTGCAAAGGCTGTCTCCTAGCCTGTGGCAAATGAAAAGTGAAATGTGTTCATTGAAACCACTGAGGAGGTTTATTTGATTAGTATGACACCTGTGGAGAATCTGCTTATTTCTAAGAAACAGCTCAAGAAAGTATTTTGTCTTTTTACAGATTCTGCCTCTACTTGTTTTCAAGGCCGTCAATGTTATACTAATGCAAAGAGCCTTAATAGCAAAATTCCTTGTACAGTATGGGGCATAAGGGAGGTATAGCATAACTTACTTTTTAAAGACAGTATCCTCTCTTACCAGCTGATAAATGAAAGATTACACTACTGAGGTGAGCGACACTAAAAATCCCTCAGAAGCTGGTGAACAGCAGTGTGACTTTCTTGGCTTTGCTGGGGTGTGTGTCCTTCCTGCTGCTGCTTGTCGAAGACAAGGTGATGCAAAGGGAGAGAGCATCTTGTCCCTCACTGGATGGCAAACCATTGGCTTTTTTTTCTTCCCTCTGCCTTATGAAGCCAAGAGTGATGTATCACGGCAGCACCTTTCTCCTACTGTATGGCAGGGGAAATGGATCTTTTTTCCTCACCAGCAGCAGGCTCCAACAATCAGTTTTACTTAACCCTGGCTGCAGCGAGAGTTGCTTGCTCTCACAGATACTCATTGGGATTGATCCCTAGAAATGAAAACATGGGAAACAATTCAGTATAAAATATGCCAGCTTCTTGACTCATACTTTCATACCTTCTTCTAAAAGAAAGAGTAATTTGAGATAAAGAGCTTGAATGTCCTGGTGAATCAGGACATGCTGAATCATTATAAATTATACACAAGGTGTATCAGGGTTACATGAATATCTACCAGGTAAGAGTAAAGGCTGGCTTGACCTATTCTCATATAAACCGTTCATCCATGGGGCAATAACTTATCAAGGCATTGGCTGCTGACTGTTGGAGCAGTCAGCACCAAGAAGAGCAGGGCAGAAGAGATGCTCACTGTAGTTGTGAGGTGCATATGAAAGCCATCCTGTGGAAATGGTATGTGTAGGTGAGCTTTTGCTCTGTAGCAAATAAGCATAAGTACTTCTGAGATCTGTGTGGAAGAATTTTTTCAAGAAAAGAACATTGACAGTAAAATTTGAGAAGGAGGTTTTTAAAACAAACAGACAAACAAACAAACAAACAAAAACCCAAAGAAAAAGAATAAACTAAGGGAACTTACAGTTGGGAGCTACCTAAATGACAATGTTGAATATTTCAGTTTCATCACATTTATATGATGGGCTTTTATTTGCTACTACTTGTACAGCTTTGCGTACAACTTCTAGCTTAGGAAGTTTTTTTTTTTTTAATGTGCACAGAATTATTTGGTGGGAAAATTGAATGCAAAGCGAGCTAGACAGACAATAAGTCTGGTTTATGTCTTTCTCCATCATATTGGAAGAAAAGCCTGCAATTTTTAAACCCAGGGCTCATGTTGTTAATTAATGATCTTGTGCAGACAAGGACAAAGAATGATTTAAAGTGTCTTAACATGTCTTTTGCTTCCTTAGTTTCTGTGGCTTTCCAGAAATGCCTCTTACTCCCTCTTTTAAAAGAGCATGGCTCCAATGGCTCTTTTCATTCAATGTTCTGCTTATAAATTAAGTTAATCATATAATTTATTCCTATAATGATCATGGTTCTCTTGTACTTTGCAAGGGTATTTGCATCCAATCAAATCAGGAGAGTGCTTTATAATTACTGACACTGGTAAGAGAATTGGATCATCACAGGCCATCTCAGGTCTGTGTCTTTCATTCTGAGAATGAGATGCTTCTGTGTGCTTTAAGTGCAGAGTTACATATGATGATATTCTCATACAGAATGCAATTCTTTGCTTTCTCAACTGCTTGAAGTGAAGTGTTAGATAAGTTGTTTCTCATATTCAGCTTACAATAATTCTTTGTTTTCTCAAGATCATTGAGACCCCACTGGTGAATATGTTAGTAGCATCTACTGCTCAAAACACTGTGTAAGAATCAATCTGTAAAAATCGTGACTGATAAGTAGTTAACATAAAACAAAGCTAAGTCTGACCGGCAAATTATAATAAGTAGCCAACTGCTTCTCCCTATAACTGCAAAACTCTTTGCTGAGTTTATCTTATTATAACATGAAAAAGAATTGTTTAAACTACCATCAATCTTTAAATCCTGGATCCTGAAAGTGGCCGTGTTGACAATGAGAATGTAGAAGTAAAGGCAAATTGCTGTGCAAGAGCTAAAAAGTATTCTTCACTTTGTGCGCCTTTTAAATGAATTTCAACAGGAGAAAACTTCAAAGGCTATTTTCTGGTAGGCCTCATTAATCCAGTTTCAAATTGCTAAGTTCACCAAGCCACGCTGTCCAAGCTTTATTGGGTGCATCTGCTATCAAATTGACACTTTATTTAGCCACGCATCTGCAGTAGTTTTACACTCGGACCATTGCTGTGTAAAATTAATCCTCTCCAGTAATCTTAATTTAAATAATAATATGTATGGTTTGCAGAAACAGAGAATGCCTATTAGAAGAATATTAAAGTTCACTCCCTGCAGGGTGAACCTTCCCATTGCAACACAGGAAAAAGGACGTTTGTCCATATAAATATATATGCAGAGAAGCATCATATTTTTAGCATTTCTTGTAGCTGATTATGTTTTCAAATTTACTTGATTTGATTTTTTAAAGGGATGTGCTGTATCGTGTCATGAAAAGAAATAGGCATATTGAATAGCTACATATTGTGCTGTACAGTGGGACTCTTAAGAGTACCCCAGTGCCCAAACCATGGGATGTGCAGAATCTGACCGGGCGGCCTGCCCTTCATTCTTCCTACTCAGGGTTGAAGAAGAGAGAAGAAATTTTATGTGAAATTCGCTATCCAGTGTGTATTTTATTGTGTGCAAGAATGCTTTCATTCAGTATTGGAAAATTTACTTGTGTTTTTAATACCATTGGAACTGGGTTTCACATGTGCCTTCATCTTCCAATACTCTGGTAGATCCCCAGATGCTTGTCTTCTGTGACAACTGTCATTCAGATGAATTCAGTAGATCTTGAACTGTGAAATGGATTTCCATCTCAGATAATACCTTCTGTAGAATCAAGATTGTGTGAACTGAAACTGCTTGAGAGATGTGTGTGTCAAGCCATGTTCGCTAAGCTACATAACAGATGGTAACAGATTTCAGTGAATTTCTTGTAGCAGGTGGAGGGAATCTTTCATTCTAGGTTAAGGACTACATGGGGATTGAAGAAGTGATGGGGATTGAAGGACAAGTATTTGCTGATATGTACTTTTCTCCTTTTCTACCTTTTTTTCTTTAATTTGGACACTGTAAGCAGCAATGCATTCAAGAACGCTGACTTCCTTCTGGGGTCCATTTGGCAGTAGCAATTTCTGTAGCAATTCTTATGGTGGCCCTAAGCTACTAACAAGCACTGCTACATTTAAAAAAATGGGTATTTTTTATTGGGAATGTAAAAATGCTCCGTTTTAGATACCTATTTACAGAACAACTGGTTGTGCTTAATTTGTGTCTTACTCTCTTTGCATACAAGAGTGTCTGTCCTGTCTTACTTTGTTAATAACAATTTCTAGCAGTGGAGCAGGGTTTTGTTATATTATTGCTGCGGGAATACAGCAAAAAGTAGATAGTTTGAAAAGAAACTGCTTTTATATTTAGTGTGTTAACATCAAGTTGTATTCTCCTCTTGATTCATTAGGTGCATGTATCATGAAAAGAACACTCTTTGAAGTCTACAGGGTTTGGGTTTTGTTAGTTTTTATGTTACATAATCTCCATTTCGCAACAGCAATTCTCACAGACTAGGAACACAAAGCCTATATTGTATTAAAAAGGACAGTCGTCTCTTCAGTGCAGTCCTTGAGTCTGTGGAAGCAGCGTAGGCCTTTGTGTTTTAAGGAAAGGGTAAAGAAACAGAAGTCATCACTGCAAACGCCATTAGTTGCCTGATCCAGTATGTCTTTCTGGTCATTGCCTGAGAAGAAACTACCTCTGCTTTATTGATTATGCAATATTATATTTGGGGGAAGGAGGGAAAGGGAATGAAAAGGTACCCTTGTAGATGTGTTTACAACTTGAGTATTTACGTGAATGACTCTCTTGTCCTTATTCAGTGATCTATGAGTTCCTCTTATTAGGATCATTGCGTCTTTCACAATGTTTCTGTTTCTGCATAAAACAGGTTACATACAGTGTGTTTGTTCAATAATGCCTTCACGTAGAAAGTCAGGGAAATGACCTTTAAAGAACAAAGTTAAGTATTAGTTTAATACTGAAGGAGGGTATTAAAAGGTTGTGAGATACTTTCAAAACAAATTAGTAAAACATTTCTTTCATTTCTTTATAGATTCTGGACAACCAGGAAGTCCAAGCCACAATGATCCTGCCAAGAATCCACCAGGTAAATATAAGTTCCAGAACATGTGCATCTAACATTGTTTGAGAACAAAGATACTACTGTTAATAGTTAAAAGAGCATAATTGGTCAGCACCAGTTATGTACCAGTGCTATTTTGCACTGGTAGGTACATATAATCAGGACAAGCTGTGATTAGTTTAGTTCTTTTAAACTGGCAATGCCTCAATTCTAGTTTTGTCAACATTCATTTGGTCTAAAGAATTTTTCTTTCCGTTCATGGTTTTTAAAATTTCATAAGTGGGGATGGGCAGAGGAGTGAGGAGACAAGATCCCAAATAACTTTACTGTTATAAAAGTCTTCAAATGCTACAATTATTCTTTTACCTCAGACAAAACACGATCGAGCTACCTCTGAAGTCTGTGACCTGAGCTACCAGCTTCTTTACTTTTATTTTATACATGCATTATAAAATGCAAATATGTTCATTTTTTATATTTTTCATATTAGGTCAGAGCAGTTTTTGAACATGTTGTTAATGGGCCATGCTAGTGACATTTGGAATTTCTTTGAGAGAGGTGTCGGTATAAACAGTCCTTTCAAGGATTCTCTAAAAATAAAAATTCAAGAGAAAATCA